GAGCAAAGAAGACCGTTACATGGAAGGGATATAAGATTCCTTATGTGCCACCCCCACCCAAGCTACTCAGAGCCAGCCAGCCAGCCAGCCACTGTCTTTCTCCCCTTTCCCTCTTGACAGCAACTGTTTCAAGGCAGCTTCTACATGGGAAACCTTTATTCTTCTGCAGAGTGAGGTTGCTATTAGAATTCCAATTCTAGTAAAGCTGTGGGGGCCACAGATGCCTCCCCAAAAGGGAAGACACAGCAGACAAATTTTAGAAAACAAAACACAAGTATATGATAATTTAATATATTCCAAATTGAAATTATGTTTCTCTGTGCTCATGCACCAAAATATGGCCATTTCTTTTTATATTTTCCTACACATCTCTCTTACCAGCTATGCCTTTTCTTAACAGATGACAAGATCAGGCATCTATCTCTTGCAAGCAGATGGACTGGGGACAGCAGAGTAAAGAGATCTGACCCAGGAGATACAACTTACAGGAATCGCATCCTATGCAGCTTGCAAAAAGGTGAATGCTCTTGGCCACACTTTTAGGCTTTTTTCCTCCTGCCTGAACAGTGCAGTCTCTAGAGACCAACAGGGAGACATGCTTTATAGTCCTGTAGGGCCATCCAGCCAAAATCTACACAAATGGAACATCGTTTCTTCAACCCATTAAAGGTTCAGAAGTGAATACTATGTTGCATAGCCTACGCAGCTCTAGGGTCCTGTATGAATGGTATCTAATTATTCTGCTCTATTCAGAGATCAGCTTTTTAAAGAAAGGAATCATGGTAGAGACCCAATATATAGATAACTTGGGCACATTCAGTTAGTTTTTACAGCTCATGTCTGACAAAGCACCAGAGGCTAGAGCCTGTAATATGGTAAGGGGGCAGTTTCCTTAAAATCTTATCCAGAATCAGTAATGAGAAGGAATGAATTGCTTAACCAATGTGGCATTGTCCATCCACCTCGGAACAGTGATGCAGCTGCATAATGGACTGTAAAATGTTTTAATAGCTCCTCTGAGAGGAGTCTCAGAGGCCCAGCAGTTAATCCAGCCTCCCAAGGAGCATATCCAACCCTACAAGATGTGCCATACACAGACCAGGAGCAAGAAATAACCCAAGGAGTCACTGTTTGGGAGGGTGTTGATTGGATTGAGAAAGGGGGGAAAAAGCAGACTACAGAGAGGGAGAAGAGATGGAATTTGAAAATATATTTTATTAAGAAAATGATATATGTTTACATATTTCACAAAATATAGTACTGTACTTTTAATGCACAGCATGAAATTCTGTTACAAAATCACTTTTTAGGATTGAAAATATATTTTATTAAGAAAATGATATGTGTTTACATATTTCACAAAATATAGTGCTTTTAATGCACAGCATGACATTCTGCTACAAAACCACTTTTTAGAACGCAGACACACATACAACCCTTTTCACATTATTTTGGGAAGACTTATGCCCACGCCTGTAACATTACACACAAGAAGTCGATTACATTCGGGTCAGCCTGAAAACAATTCATACTATCAGGTTGCAGCACAGTGGCTGCTTTCAGCTGAACCGCACTGCAGCTGCTCTATGTGACAGAATAGCTATGCAGAGACACACCCTCCAATTTTGACCAACTACTGTAAGTGACATAGGCAGATTGAAAACAGATGTCAATAATCGTGTCATACAGATACTGTTGTCATTGGCACAGTCACTATCTGACCAGTTGGCCGGATAGATTACCCCTAAAGGGAGGAGCATCCTTTCACCTGGAGCTCCGTGGCTCTAGGTAACAGGCTGTGTGGATAGGTAACAGGCTTCGTGGCTCTAGGTAACAGGCTGTGTGGATGGGCTCAGTGCATACCTGTCTATCTGTCTTCCAGATCTTCTCTCTCTCTGCAGCATGGAAGAGAAGAGGGTGCCAGAAGTTGCACAGAGAGCCCACGAATCATACACCAGCCACAGATTTTCCCCTTCAGAACCAGAGGAGTGTTTTCATTTAGTAATTTCCACCTTTATGGCCCATTTCCACATCGCCTTGCCTGCAAAAGAACTTCCAAGCATCTGCTGAGCCCAACTGCAGGTCACAGAAGATTTCCAAATATATTCAAAAATTTCCAGGTGGGAGGAGTTGCCATGATCCTTTGCTGCAGCAAAGATAGGAAAACTCTTGTGCCACTTGTGCACAAGCTGTCGGGGACCACAACCCCACCTCATCAAATACACAAAATTTCTTAAGAGCAAACTTTGGGGACAACAGCTACACATGATATACTGACAAGCGTATCTACTGCAGATGCCACATTTAGTTAGGTTTGGATCCTTTTTTCAGACTTTCAGACCACAACTCCTGACCACGTGTGCAGCGGCAGTGAAAGCTGGAGGAGCAAGCAGGTATTTATCGTCCCCATTTGGACCTTCTCGGTTCCTAACCCATCCCCTCCAATTGTGGGGTTCAGAATTATGAATGGTTATCTATTTTAAACCGTCGGGCAAGGAAAGCAAAATGCCTCACCTGGATTTTTCAAAAACGCATAGTTAGTATTTCATACTTTAAATTCCAGCAGTTCCAAAGGAAGATGCCCTTTTTCTGTTTACTTGAACATCAAGGTACAGTACAAGCAAGTCCCATGTCCTTCCATGCTGCTAAAGGGCAGAGTTAAAGCTTATTGGAGAAATCTTATACATATTTACTTGGAAGTAATGCTCCACTGAATTTTGGGAGGACCCTCCCCCCAAAAATGTTAGTGTTGCAGCCAAAATGATTTACTAATTATTTACCTTTTATCCAATAATTTGCCTTTTGCCAATTATTTGCACCTTTGGCCTTTCAGCTGTTCTAAAATTCACCTCTCAGAAGTCCCAGCCATAAGGACTGGTGTCAATGGATTAATCCAAAACATCTGGATGGCCAAAAACTCCCCCTTCCAAGTTTAAACACTCTGGAGCTATCACAGAGAAAGCAATTGTAGGTAAAACTTTTATTGTGCAACTCTCCTGCTTCATCCACAGACTTTTACAGGGAGTTGACAGGAAGACAAAATCAGTTTGTATCCTTTGCTTCCTATTCAGTTTTAGTATCTCTAGTAGTTTTGTAGTAAATTTTTCACATTTATGGGAAATTAACTAGTTCAGTGTTGTTCTCCTTTCTGCACATTCTATGTAGCCGCCATGTTGTTTTGGGGGGGTTGGGTTTTACACGAGGTTTAATTTTGCTGCAAGCCACCTGTATGGCCTCCAATGGATTTTATTTTAATGAACAATTAAGTGAAGGGGGGGGGAAATAATGTACATTTTTTCACTGTCTTCGGACAAACTTGTGAGCATTCATGCTTCACACTTCCCATGAAACTGACCAATACGTTTTGATGCAGGATCATTTCAGTGCCATATCTGTAGCCTCTGCACCTTTCTAGGGTGAAGTGAGCTTCTTTGATCAAAATCCAAAGTGAGCATGAAAGTAAAAGGAGAGGCTACCATTGTGAAGTTCAATTCTACATTAAGTTGGGCCTCATGCATAGATCAATAAAAGTATATGCACAGTGCTAGGCACAATTCTTAAACTAATGTTATTGGGGAAAGATTGGGCAGACAGAAGAACAGGTTAGGAATGAGGAAATATATCCCTTTGTAGGAAAATGTGGAGAAACATTATATTCTTCATCCTAAAAAGTCTCTGCTCCAGTGAATTCAACTACAGTATTTAAATCCTCACCGTATGGTGGAGATAAAAATCACTACACAATGATATCCTGAGGAAAGTGCATACAGCCAAGACGTCCAGACTGCTTCATCATGAACATCTGACCCAGGTTTGACAGAGCACCTTATTGCTCTTCCAGGAGACCCACTTGATCCTGCTGGAGCAGAAACATGTCCTACTTCAGCCTGCTAAATTTGAAGGCCGGCAATAAAATGAAATATTCCATTCCCTGATGAGTATATTGAAGAGGCAGCCTGTCCCAGCTACACTTTGGCATTTGGGATTTGACAACAAATTGGGACAAGGCAAACCCATATAAATGTTTTTGCATATCAGAGGTATAAGAAAGAGTTCTTTGGTTTATTCATTGTGTCGTTTAGCACAAGCAGTGCTTCCTGGTGATCCATGTTACATTGTATGGAAAAACAGAAACACAGTAGATGTTTCACACCTGACTAAATTCCTGGTGCATTTGGTGTCTTTCCAGTGCAGTTGTCATGTGACAGTTATTATAATAATAACAACCTGCTGTCGAGTCAATTCTGATTTATGGAGACATAAAAGTGGTTTACTGTTCCCTTCTTCTGAGAGAGCCATGGGTCTGTGCAGCTTGCCCAAGGCAAGACAGGCTGGCTCTTCTGGGATGCACAGAGGAGTTGCCCCGACCTCTGGCTCTGCAGCCAGATAACCAAACCACTGAGCTATTCAGCCAGCTGAATCTATAGGGCCTAGCCTTACCAAAAAAGATATATTCATTCACAGCATCCTTAATACTACATTGTGCCATTTCTGGTCCTTTAAACATTTTGCAATCCTTTTTTTTCCAGATTCACTCAGGTCAAACTAAAAATTATATATGAAATATCTAACATGCAGTTCATTATGTTTGTTGCGTTTATTCCACAGTAAGCAAGGGATTCAGTCTCAGTTGGGATCAGTGTCACAAAAAAAAAGCTTAATCCTCTGATCCCATGATCCCAAATCAGCAGATTTTTTAAAAAGCAAAAGCAAATTGTCATCTATGGGATCTGACTATCATTGGCTGTAATCCTGTTAATAATTTATACCTGCAGAAGTATAATTATGTCATTGACAGGTAGTGATTTTTGGTAAAAGCATCCTACTTCTGTTCTGCAGCTTTTCCAAATCCTGTGTAATCCTTGATTGATGTGGGTTTTTCGACCTCTTTGGCCATGTTCTGAAGGTTGTTCTTCCTAACATTTCACCAGTCTCTGTGGCTGGCATCTTCAGAGGACAGCCACAGAGACTGGCGAAACGTTAGGAAGAACAACCTTCAGAACACGGCTAAAGAACCCGAAAAACCAACAACAACCATTAGATCCCAGCTGTGAAAGCCTTCACGAATACCTGCATCATCCCTTTCACCATGTGCAAACCATTGGGGCTGCAGGACAGGAAGAGTACATCTTTAATTATCAAAAGTCACTGCTCTTGGTGGATGCAGGTGATGCCATCATTCTTCAGCAGGAGTATGTTATGGAACAAATTATTTGCTATGCAGAGATTTTCTCAGATCATGGTAGCAGAAAAATAATACCTTTCCTCCTTGCTATTGTGATCTTGATCTGGATCAATTATCTATCTGCTTAAAGTAAACACAAAAACTCATAAAAACTGCTCACTGTGTATTTAAAGTAACATGTAGCTTGACCTTTACAAAGTCCTTTGGACTACTTAATTCATAGGAATGGTCTCTAGTTGTGAGTATTTGTGTGCCAAAAGCGCACCAACTTCAACTGCGCTGACTTTCAGAATCACACATGCTTCAAAATGTCGCTTAGAAAGTGCAAAGGTTGCCATAGCTGAAATCTGTAAGCTGTTAGAATCGGCCTTATAGTCTTTAATTTTTAAAATACCATTTCCCTAGAAGAAAGCAGCCAAAGGTACAACATGAGCAAGGTTTATGATCCTTTATGAGGAAACTCTTCGAGTAAGTATACAAAAATTCTGGGGTCAGTCATTCTGTTGCATCCTATTTAGACCTTTGCTTATTAGGCCCCTGTGCCCCAGTGTCCTCCCCCCCCCTCCCGATGTTCTCTCACATGGACAGCAATTATATTCCACACATATGTGGGCAATCATCTATCACTTATTGCACCGACTTTGGTAGCCATTGCTTGTCCAACCTTTCAGCACAGATCTTCTAGAAAGGGGTCCCTTTTACCAACATCAAACTCTTGATATGAGGGGGAAATGCCAAGATTCCATGGAGCAGAAAGGAACATAACTCCTGCTTCGTGTGGCTTTTGGTATGGCTTTTTGCTGCTAGCATCAGTGCAATGTAATATCAAGTTGTGTTAGATTTCTGCTACGTTACATAATATTGGCAAAGCATTCTGTGTACTGTATGTGTATATATATATATATCTGTTCTCTGGCTTCTACAGTGAGGCATCCTGTAGACAGCTACAATGCTCGCCTCTTACATCTTGAATCTCCTGTTGATAAAGAACAGAGTAAGACTCCATTAAGGAAGGTGTCTGTGGAAAGACAGTCGGTCCGTAAGCTACCTCAGACTTCCAGCTCCTAGGGGGAACCTACATAAACTTGGCAGACTTTTCAGACCTTCTTCCAAAGCACAGACAGCATTGAGCAGGGATCAGATTAGGGCGTAATGGAGGGCATAGGAGCAGATATGTGTGAGTCTATATGCAAAGTCTATGGGATGGCTTTCAGGAGCAATGGTTGCTGCAAGAATGTGGGGATTGGGATGGAGAAACCATGGAGAAAGACATCTGTGTTCAAAATCTGGAAAAAGCAAGCAGACAAGAGGTTCTTGCAGAAGAAGCAATGCCCTCCCTTCTTCCTCATAACTGCCCTCCCATGATAAGAAATGACTGGCATATGTTTCTGTTTTACTAAGCATTGCATTCATCAAGGACCCTGAGCAGCAGAACAGGCAGGCCTTGGGAGCAAAGTCTGCAGCAGCTGCTCCCCCACTCTCTTCAGCATCATCCAGCAAGAGACAAGTCGGCATAGATTCTGACCTGGAGTAATATCACTGAGTGCTATGTGAATACCTCAAAGATGGATGTAAAACCCTTTTACAACTCTCCTTTGTATAGCTTCATAATGGCACTAATAACAACACAGGAACCTTCAGACTCTGTGTCCTAATTCATTCTTGCCTACTGTTGGCTATTATGCCATCGTTCTTCTTTATTTTAAACCCAGAAGCATGTCACCACAGGATCGAATCAGAATGATGAAGACATGGTATGTCACACTTCAGGGCTGATGTATATATTTGACCTTTCTTTTTTAAGGAAAAGAAAGGATTGCAAACACAGGAGCTACAAATATAGTGGTATGGGAGAAACCCATTTGGTTTTAATGTAGCAAATGGCTGAGGAGTAAAAACAGAACACTTTTCCCTGTCCTGGACCCGCTGCTCCTTTGTGACTGTGTTTACTCTCAAAGAAAAACAAGTTGGGAGAGTCTTCATGCATCTCCATGTGAAATGAATTTCTAGCTTGGTTCTCCAAATCTGATTCCTGGATATCACTCTCATTTCAGGCACAGTGAAGCACTTTTCAACTCTACTTGAGCTTATGTCAAATACACCACCCTGACTCTCCCTTCACATTGTCTCTCAAGCCCTGTATTTCTTGGAATGTTTTTGGGTCCCGACCAAATTAATGCCCCCCCTTTCTCTCATTGTTGAAGTAAAGAAGCATGAACATGAGTCATATTAATGATACAGAAGAAGAAGCAGCAGGTATTAGGTGGCAGGGTATCTGGAACCAAGAGCTACTTCATAAACTAAGAGCACTAACATAGGATATTGGTATTAGACTAGATATTTACATGGATCCTATAAAAATGAACAAGACAATGAAGAGATGTTACCATCTTCACGTCTTATGGATTGCAGCTTCAATCGCAAGAAATCCTTCTTTGAAACAGAATTAAGAGATGCAGTTAAAACACTTTTAACATGAAAAAGCTAGGAAATCCATGGTAGAAAAAAAGCCTTTTTTTGTTTTTGTTTTTCATTGCCAGCATGGCTGTAAACTACAGCTCTGAATATAATTTTTAGAAGTTTGTCTTAGGTGAGACCCACCAGGAACTGGGGCGAAAGAAACCAAAGGAAAATTCAGAAATATGGCCATGAAAGCTGTTGGATATACTCAGTAAGATATGCTATGAAGAACACTTTCTTTCTTATGTAGGAAAGGGCAGGCTTATGTTTGCCCAGGGTTCCTTAAGGAAGAAACAACATACACTTGAGAGGTGATTATGCCATCTCTTTGCTGAAGCATTGCCCACTGGTGCCATTTACTCCTAATGGTGGCATGAAATAAGAGTAAGAGAAAAGCAAGTAGGGTTAGCATGCAACAAGCTTCCCGGCTGGAAAAATTCACTTTGCCACGGACAGCAGCAGCCTCTTGGTATGTACCAGATGTGGAACAACACCTGCCAAAGGGGATCTTTGCTGAGGGGCCAGTCCAATGACTGGGCAAGGGGCTGGCACATGGCCAAGTAGCTGCTTCCACTTCTGTGACTGAAGCTTGGTGCCTGTTAAACACCAAGAGGATGCTGGCCCTCCCCGCAGTGGCACTCCACTACATGCTAGCCTAGGTCTCCACCAACATTGTCCAGGGAAGTGAAACAACTTACAACAGCCCATCTTAAAAAAAACATTCATTTTATTTCATAAAAATAAATTTTCAAATACAGTTGGGCTTCTATAGTATTAAAAATAGCCGCTTTTTCTAATAGAATGTATCTGTCTTTCTCAGTGTGTGTATGTATATATATAATATATAATATAATATAATGCAATACAGTATTGATACAAGTGAAAATTAGGAAGTTTTGAAAGCTACATTACTATAACTGTAAATATTTTATATACAGTTGTTTATGTGGAAGGCAGCTGCTAAGCTACGAATAGACATATGACCACAGGTTACAGACAAAAAGATAGCAAGTGCACTCTGAAAGAAGATTATTGGGGGGGTTGCAGAAATTCAGTATACACAGTGGGAAAACTGATTTGTACATATGTTTGAAACCAAGATTAAGACACAGTTCACCAGAAACATCTGCTATGCAAGGCCTTTAAAACTGAATTTCTGCAGGGATTCCTGGTGGACTGCACTGGACATTTCCACAAGGCAACATTCACATGGGCCAATTTATGTATCACTGGGACAGCTAACAGAATCCCAGTAAGTTCAGTAAAAGCTCCTAAGTCTTCCGGAGCAGCTTGAGGATCTATAAATGTTTATGTGAGGTTTACAGCCCTGGGGCCATGATGCTACAGTCCTAACTGCCAGCTGAGGACTGCAGCACCTATTAAGACTACTGAATTATTTTCTATTTTCTGGCAAAGATAACGCCATTCCCAGGAAAATATGCTCCTGGACTGCAATTGACAAGTTAAATGTGCAATGCATTACTGGGCTCTAAACAGCAGTGCCCATCCTCCAGCCTCTGCTGTCTCGATGGCTCAAAACCAGCTCCATTTCTAAGCTCCTTTTCCCTACAATCTCTAGATTTCGCCCCAGTAAAAATGTGGGGAAAGAAGGGGAAAAGTGGAAGCCAATTTCAAGCAGTGTTCTATGGGCTTCTAAATATGGTCTAATGGAAAGCTATGGTGTCATAACAAAGCTGACAACAGAGAGGCATGTTTCTGCCCCCCTAGATTTGCCTGAATGTGTCATATTGCCTTATTAAAGAAACCTGTCTACAGTGCATTCATTTCCTGTTATCTGTGGATTGCCTGCAGCAGCAGCTAGATAAGGTTTGTTGCAGAATGCCCAGTGCCGCAGTGGGGGTACTACCACCGCAGGCATCAATACAATCATTGCATCTTTTCACAACACATGGGAGATGGCTCAGTTTTGTGTCGGTGCTTTCCTAATGTAAAAGTGACCTTCAGTGTACAAATACTGACAAGGTTCGGTTTGAATGCTTCAGGTAACCATGCAGTTTATTCACTACATGGGTACAAACTGGGGCTGACATTATGTTATTTATGTCCCTTGTGAGGACTGCTCTCAAGATAATTGGACAAAGTTGCTTTGCCATGGCCTAATTTGATCCTTATCTTTCTAGGTCCAAATACTGGAAAAATTTAATGATACAAAAAAGGCCCCAGCTTTCTCTACAGTTACAATAAAAATAATCCCCCTCAAAGACCTCTGGGGAAAACAAGGCCTGATTTCATTGAGAAATGGATCCATCTGGCTAGAAGGAGCCGTTAGTCGCTTGACCCAGAGTGTGTTAATTGCTCAGTCTTTTTTGTTTCTTGGCTTACTTGTGTAGATATTTCTCCACATATTCCTGGATCCACTTTAACTTGGAATCAATGCAGATCTGTTTGCTGCTATTTTTCAGTCTTGCACTGCCAAGAGAGAGAGAGAGAGAAAGAATACTAGAATAAAAATAAATCAAAGCAACAGAACTGTTGGATTCTGTTCAGTTCGACTCCTGTGACAGAGATTCCAGCTTATGAAGGTTCTGTACATGGCCTGAGGGATACCTCAAGAACACACTTCCCCAAAATTTGCCAAAAGGGCTTGCTCTCCCTTCTTTTTCCTTCAGCCAATGGACAGCCATGCTGGGATCCTTTAACTGGGCTTCCAAGCACCATGTCTGGAAAAGCTCCACACAGTGTTTCAGCCAGATGACCGCATGGACTCAGGAGCGTGACAACATCCCCTGACATCCTCTGGCCCATGAAGGGCTATGAGACGGGAAATCGACACACACTGCCAAGATGTTTCCCCACTCTCACAATAACAAAGAATCATGCCTGTTCCTTTTTACTACTGTATATGCAGTGAATTATTAATGAAAGGAATTTCTGAGGTAATTTGACAAGTCACTTATCAGGGCTGTGCTTTTACTTCAGACAACATACAAGCCCAAGGAGCACTTCATGAGGATTCCAACTATCTCTGAGCTACAGAAACTCTGGTTGGTCCTCAAACTACAGACAACACACCCAAAATATATATGCAGTGATATAGACACATTCCCAACTTAATCATTTCCATACCAGTACCATCCCAAGTTCTGCAAAACTCTCCACAAATTCCAAGCTGGACCACATGCCAGCAGTGAGTGTGGCTAAGAGTGGAAAGGAATGGTGGCTAAGAATGGAGAAGGTGGAGCCAAAGACAAGTTGGCAGGAACAGATGTAACTCTTACCAATCCTGGACACTTCCCTAACTGTGCATACAAAGCAAAGCTCAATCCTATGTATGCATGCTCAGGAACAAGTCCCAGTGCAACAAACTTAAAGTACAGTACAGCAGTAGCGGTGGTGGTAGTAGTAGCAGTAGTAGTAGTAGAGCAATAACATGATACAATATTTAAAGGAATGTGGAAGCAAGTTCAGGTCATCATGCTCCCCATACTAATGTCAGCAACGCAACTTATTCCCAAACCCTAGCTATCAATTTAAAACAATTGCCAATGGCTGCCAATTTGCTTCCTAAAATTCAAAGATCAGTGATTTTTGCAAATATGTCATTTCACCCACATATTTAAGACTTGATTCTTAATGGTTAGGTTTGACATAGTAGTAGGAATGGTTGTTTTTACTTGTTGTTGTTGTTTTGTTTTTATTCTGTACCATCAGGTCAGTTCCACCATATGGTGACCCGTTAGTCCCATTAGGGTGACCTATGTTTAGAGTACTCAGAAATGTTTTCCATTTCTTTCACCCCAGAGTGCCTTGGGACTGGGCAGCTTGCCCAAAGCTACACAGTCTGGCTCTTCTCCCAAGCACAGTGGGGTCCTGAACTCCTAACCTTTGACTCCACAGCCAGGTATTCAGCTCACTGAGTCACCCAGATTTTTAGATGGAAATTACAGAGTTAACAGTTCCCTTTGAGGGGGTGTGTGCATGTGTGAAGTCTCCCACATTTCACACAAATTGGTGTGGGGACAAATTGGTCAAGTGTACACTGCCCAGCACAATTCGATGCTTGCTTATTCAGGAGCAGGTCACAGAAAGGACCTTTTAAAACATAAGCTGCCACTGCTCCCCAGTTTTCATATCCCTTTCTTCCAGAGGGGATTTTGAATATTTAAAATGTAAAGAGCACAGTTTTGAAAGAAATTTCAAGAACAGGACAATCAAAGTTTGTAAATACCCTTAGTTATAAATAATGATAATTTCCCATCAGTGATCAGAAATACGTTTGGTGGCTTCCTGAACAGTGAAGGAATGGTGGGAGCGGCAGAAGCAGTTTAGTGATTAAATGGGGAAACTCTTGGTTGGCAATTCCCCATCCCTGTGATAAGACAGTCAAAATAGTTTTCTAGGTTTCTTGGCTCTGCAACAAACGGTAAGGACTTGACAGCTCATTTCTGTCTGAAAGAATATGTTATGGGTGATCATGTCAGAGGGTTTGCCAAATGCCTCAACAATGAATAGCTACTGTTATAAGTACATTTATAGTAACTCTCATTGTTCAGAAGGAACTTAAACAGCTACTTATAAAGATACTTTTTAAAAGGACCAAAAAGTTGCAACTACTGTATTACTCTGAGGTACAAAATATCTAAATACTGAGGCCCCATAGACCCTTTGGTACAAAATATCTAAATACTGAGGCCCCACATAGACCCTTTAAAAAATCAACTAAAACAGTTACTGTATTGTTACACTTCACAAGGAGCAAAGTTATTCCTTATTATGCTAAAGGCAAAATAAAACTGAGTTACGCTGTAGTGATTATTTACAATTTCATAGGCAATTTTACAGTTGGCCACTACAGTATGTGATCAGAATGCTGGATCAGATACATCTTTAGTCTCATTCAACATGACCCATATATACTTGGCTGAAATCCTGTTGTGCAACTCTAACAGATGATGGCATCAACCAGTGACATTTATCTTTATTTTAATTTTGTTGAAAGCTTCCTATCCAACCCTCTTCATGTCCCAAGACTCCCTAGGAATCTCTTTTGCTCTTTGGAAGAGGGGGTAGGCTTTCATATTGGAATACCATTGCTAGATTTGCCACCTTCAGTCCTGATCCAGCAGTGGGATGGCCAACGGTAATTTTCAAATACTAAAGGCTCCCCTTCTCTACCCAGAGACTCCCAAAGGCTTCCTCAGGGCAAAAGGGATACCTAGGTAACCTGAAGGGATGTGTGTTAAGAAGTTCTAAATTAAAATAAAGAGACATGACAGGGTTGCATCAAATGGATCTCAGCCAATATGTCCATGGTTTGTGTAAACCACAACCACAACATCTGCCAAAGAAAGTTAAAAAAAAACTGCATGAAAAGCAGGGGAAGGCTATATAGTTAAAAATGCAAGCTTTAACGTTTCAAGTTTCCCTTAGCACAGACCTGGGCAAAGTGCGGCCTAAGGGCCACATACGGCCCGTGAGCCACTCCTCTCCAGCCCGCCAGTTGTGGCTCCAGTCCGGTGTTCAAGAACTTGTTCAAGCCCAAGATAGACTGGATTTCTCTCAGTGAACAAGCTGAACATCAAAACCATTTATAGCTTTTTGTTTAAAGTTGATCAGTTGCTTATCTTTAACATACCACCAAAAATCTCTTTAGTATTTGTGAAGATTAACAAGTTTAAAATTAAAAACAATCATAACATCACTGTTTCATGTTTTTTTTTTCAGTAAAGTTCAATCATAACATCACTGTTTCATTTTTTTTTCCAGTAAAGTTGGTTTGGCCCCAGAAAACAGTTCAGATTTTTCATGTGGCCCCCTGTAGAAATTAATTGTTCACCCCTGCCTTAGCACAAGAACCCCACTACCAGTTTCTCTGAAATGTGACAAACGTTCCCCACATCCTCCAAAGGAATCATTAATGCTGCAATTTTCACCTATTTTTGATACCCAAAAAATATTTTAAAGTGATATGCCTTTGTTGGTCTTCCCATAATAGTTGATGAAGAAGGCATCTAAAACTTGTGATAAAAGATTCAACTTGAGATTCCTTCCTGAATCTAAATAAAGCATAATGTTTATCTATGGCACCAAACTGAAACTGCCCCAAAGCAACCAAACTGCTACGTATGGAGAAGTGGGCTTCAAAATATGAAAGCAGATACTCAAACAGATTTGATGCCCTTAAAGGTGCATGTTTGGTGCTGGGTGGCTTCCATGGCATAATAAAATAGAATACAAAACAATACAATACAATAAAAATATGAAAGCAGATACTCAAACAGATTAAAGGTGCATGTTTGGTGCTGGGCGGTTTCCATGGCATAATACAATACAATACAATACAATACAATACAATCACAGGACAAAGTATAAATCAATCAATACAAAATTAAACAAATAGAAAACAAAATCTTTTTGGCATTTTTTTTAAAAATGCCAAAAGTTTACCTAACTCATGCCTTCAAAATAATACCAACTTTTCAGTTACTTTTCTAAAGATTCCTCCAGCTTCATTCATATCCTCTTTGAGCATATATTTTAATCCTGTCTCCTTACCGATGGGATCTGTAAAACTAGATATTCTATACTATTTTCTCCCATTCTGTTTTTTCTGTTTCAGCATACTTTTTGTTCTGATCATTTAAGCCTCCCCAAAAGTCACCAGGTTAAGTACAGAGCGTTGTTTAGCTAACAATAGTCATTCAGCCTATCACTTACACTCTTAAATACCTCTGTCTTGCAATTGCAAATTATCCAATTACAACTGTCTTGATATTTTCCAGATCTTTTTTTTTTGGTTCTGAAAAAAATGAGAGCAATCAAACTATTTCTCGGTTAAATTATTGATTCAATTTAGAATTGAACTGAAGCTTTTCCTCATAATTATTCTTAATCATTCTGTGCTGAAAAAAGGGCAGATGTTTTAATTAAATGTAAAAGGACTGAATTCTGGAAATAGGTAGAGAAAGTTCACAGGGTTGCCTTTATACAGCTAAAAGAAAAAAGATTTTACATTGGTTTTCAGAGAGGTCACTGTATTAGTCTACTTCAGTAAAAGCAAATGTCTATTTATTTTTATTTATTTATTATTAGATTTTTATCCCGCCCTTCCAGACTGCATTTACTCAGGGCAGCTCGGATCAAAATCATACATAAAAACAGTTAAAACAATAATTTAAATTGACAATATTAATGTTAATCAAGATGGAAAAGTAAGCAAAAGGCCAAGCAGAAGGCTCACAAATGAATATTCCAAATGTGTTGGAACTATTCTTGCATTATATGTTTGATGAATTATATACGGATGTAAAAAAAAAAGTGCATATTCAGAGCTGTTGAGAAGTGAAAAAATTTATCCTTTTTGCATTTTATAAATAACTAAGTTTTGGTGTTTGTTTCTATTAACACAACAACCAATTGGAATAGTCTTCTTGTAACCTCTTTATAATTTTTCCTCTTATTGTTTTATT